GATCCATTTTTCGTCGCCAGTCACAAGTCTATCCAAAAAAGGTGAAACAAGTTGGCGAGAATAGAGAGAAGAGCAGATGTCAACTCGGGATTTGAGGTTGTTTTCAGACAATTCATGAGGCACCCATTTTCCAAGTTTAGGAACTTTTCCAAGTTGTTGAAGATGACGATGAACAGTTGTATAGTTTGAATTGAGAACCACTGCCAATTCCTCAACTGATAAAGCAGGATTTTCTTCAAGGGCTGCTTCAAGAAGCTTTTCATCAAGCTCAACTGGACGTCCGGTTCGATCTTCATCTTCAAGGATGAAATCTCCACCTCTGAATTTTGCAAACCATCTTCTGCAAGTTCTTTCATTCACACATTCCTCTCCATAAACTGATTGAATGTTTCTAGCCACTTCGGCTGTTGTGTTTCCTTTCTTGAACTCAAAGCATTATGTGCCCCAAATGATTCTTGGGTACTTCCATGTTAGCAGGGTTTTAATCAAACAAAATTTAATTTTATTGTTCTCTGAAATAAAAATTTGATCAGTTTAAATGCATCTAAACATAAAAATAATGTTCAGCTCCATTAGACATTATAAAATACTCTTTAAATTTCGTTCATTTTAACAAAGTTAAATTCGGACAGAACTTATAGGATGACCTGATAAAATCTTCGACCATCTTCAGGTGGTACTATGAATCACAGATTTTATTTTTATTTATTTTCTTCGTCCCGTTGTCTCCTTCCTACCTCTTTATCATTTACTTCATTTATCTATTTCAGGGGATTCGGTTTTGTTACATTTCGGGATCCGGCTAGCGTGGAGAAAGTTCTAGCAAATGGACCGCATGAACTGGATTCAAAAACGGTAAGTGTTTCATGTTAGATTTGAATTCTTTCTCTAGTGATTTCAGTGTTCAAAGCTTAGTCTGACAAAAGGCTAACATAATGAAGATTGCATAAATTAAGAGCTTGCGGCATAATAGATGTTGAAATTATCGAAGTCTGGCACAAGGTCATTCTACTGATGTTAATCAGTCAAGTGCACGATACACGGTTGGGCGATCATGTCTCTTTCGATTCATGGCTGGACAGAAAGTTTTTCCCACTCTCCGTTGCCGTTTATTTTGGCGTTTACGCCTCAGTACACGTAACGGACCAGATTGTAATTTGAACTCGGCTCTCCGAATTCAAGTCATAATTTTCATTTATTCATTTTTTTTTTTTTTTTTTTTTTTTTTTATTCTAATATAAGGGACCGGTTGAAGTATCACTCCATGTTTTAAAAGAAGTCATGGCTGTTTATAGATATTGTCAGAGGACTTACTCATTTTCTTTTAAATTTTGGATATAGGTTGATAAGCCTCCAAGCAAAAACAACCAACTAAATTTTGAAACTAAACTTTCGGATTTTTAGGTCAGCTTTTGATTTTTCGAGAGTTCCATTAAGTTAAAGACGAGGCTCTTCATCCCCTCGCATCTAGTTTCCATCTGGCTATTCCCTTAAATAGTGGACAATTCCGCTTCGATTACGAGAGAAAAAATATACCAGAGAAGCTGTCCTGTTTGAACGGACGGACTTTTTATGCAAAGAAGTGTTAACTGAATGATGTTCGAGTGATAAACCGTTCTATATATTTGTCGAAAGAGGGCCAATCGAGGCAGTGTAATATTTAGCAAGCTTGTCTCGCTAGAACAATTACGACTGAATCGTTCGATCCTCACTGGGTGCCCCATACTTTCGGCTTTGTGCCGCATCTAAGCTACGCTTAAAAAATCACTATTTATGTCGAAAGATATATTTAATATTTATCATTGGAAAGTCAAACCTTCGGTCATAAGATTAGGAAGTATGACTCCTCAAAAAATTTTAACCCGAGAAACATTGATAGTAAAAACTAATATAATTATGAAAGGGCAAAGTGATACATTAGACTCCATCACAAATATCGATTACAAATCTTTTCTTCTTCTTCTTTTTATGACTTATTTTTAGGACATTTCAATTTTCTGAGATTTGCTAGAAGTAAGGAAAATTATGACCTGAAGGCTTAATTTGTGACTCCTCTTCACGTCTTCGCGAAGTAACTCTAACTCTCCCTCACTTTCTCCTATCTCTCTCTATCTACTCTCACTCCCTCTCGCCGCCTGTCTCTTTCACTCTCCGCCTGTCTCTTTCACTCTCCGCCTGTCTCTTTCACTCTCCGCCTGTCTCTTTCACTCTCCGCCTGTCTCTCTCTTTCTCTCCGCCTGTCTCTCTTCCTCTCCGCCTGTCTCTCTCTTTCTCTCTCCCCGCCTGTCTCTCTCTTTCTCTCTCCCTTCTGTCTCTCTCTCTCTCTCCACTTCTCTCTCTCTCTTCTCCCTTCTCTCTCTTTTCTCTCTCCCTTCTGTCTCTCTCTTTCTCTCTCCCTTCTGTCTCTCTCTTTCTCTCTCCGCTTCTGTCTCTCTCTTTCTCTCTCCCTTCTGTCTCTCTCTTTCTCTCTCCGCCTGTCTCTCTCTCTCCGCTTCTGTCT